GCTCACTCTCACACTCACACACACACACACACACACACACACACACACACGCGCGCGCGCGCGCAAACAAACACACACGCGCGCACACCCTCTCTCTCTCTCTCTCTCTCTCACACGCATGCTCAAAGAGCCCGTCTTCTAAACCACGAGTGCCTTCTTTCCTTCTCTCGAGAGTGAGTGTTTGGATCCAACCGTGCATAGAGATTTGCTGAAGTGTGTTTGCTCAGAACAGCGCTTCTGTTTTGAAGGCGGAGGCTGTTTTTCACGGCGATGGTGAGTGATCAAGTTTCTGCAGTGCTTTATGTGATCGAGCTTCTCCTCACATGCATGCATGAAGCTGCATTGCTGCAGTTGTGAAAAGAGCGAAGCATTAAAGCCAGTGTGTGCTAGAAACAGACCGGATCTGATCTGAGCGTCAGTGTAGCGGCATGTTACTGTTTTTGCGTCAGATTGCATGACTTTGATTCACTCTGGTCAGATTATAAAACGCTATAACGAGCGTGTGATGTGTAAATGAGTTTAGAACGCACACTTGTATCATGAAGAGAAGATAAGTTGCAAGAAACGCTTGGAAATGTTTAAAATTGGTCGTATCCAGTGAGTCGATTCGTTTGAACGAGTCTTTTTGTATTTTACGTGCGCTTCATTCGAAGTGAATTAAATTGTAGTCGTTATTTTATAGTTCCAAACCACTGATCTATAATGGATCAGTGTTCCGAACCCACTGTTTGAACTCGACCGAATCAGTCAAAAGAACCGACTCAAAAGAACGATTCGTGCAAGAAACGTTCGGGAATGTTTCAAATTGGTCTGATTCAGTGAGTCGGTTCGTTCGAACGATTTTTTTGTATTTTACGTGCGCTTCTTTCGAAGGGAATTAAAATGTAGTCGTTATTTTATAGTTCCAAACCACTGATCTATAATGGATCAGTGTTCCGAACCCACTGTTTGAACTCGATCGAATCATTAAAAAGAACTGACTCAAAAAAAAACGATTCGTTCGCGTATTAGACACCGCAACAATCAAAAGCGAATCGTTTGCGTATGTGTCGCATTGAGTTACTTTGTTGTAGCTTATTAAACAACAGAACTCGATTAAACTAACGACTGCTTAGACACCTACGACCATCATCTAGATATTTGAATACGTTATGAAGTTTTTCACACCCTGAGGTGAGTTTATAGCGCTTTTGATGCGGCAGAGAGAAGAAAACAGGTAAATTCATAACTGAATATGATTGAGAAAATGTAAACAAATCAGTTTAACACGATAAATCTAACGGAGAACGTATATTTCACCCCAACATTAAAAGACGAAACATAACCCTAATTGTCTGGAAAATAATGTGGGGGAAAAAATGCAATTTTTCCTTGGATTTGGGGATTTTAGCATCTCAAATTAGAAACTCAGCATTGAATAAGACACAATCTATTTCTCATTATTGAATATGGATGAAACCCACATGCTAAAATCGTATCAATCCACATAAAAGCTATTTTGATATTAGTGGATTGAAATGCTAATGTGTGGCTCGAGAGTCACGCTTATGAAGATTAATGGTGATGAAGTTTGTTTCGATGCTGTTCGGTTATTTGAGCTGATAGCCTATGAATAATCCATCTGTGTGACCCTGTCAGTGCTGAGATAAAGGCAGATGAAGTGGTCTTTTAGGGCTACAGAAGAGGCACGGGTCATTTGAGGAGATCATTATAGAAACGAGGCCAATTAAAAGCACTGTCAACTCATTTAGTCTCTGGTTGGAAAGAGTCTTGCAAGAAACAATGCTACATTTATCAATATAGATGCATTTAAAGGGAAGGAGTTGTACTTAAGATGGTATTTTATCTGCGTTTGAAGTTCATAAGACTTTTGGAAGTTCTTTGTAAGAAGTTTGAGCTCAAAGCAGAGGCCGGGGCAAGTTGTCACAAGATCCATATGAGGTTAAGTTTCAAACATCTAGGTAAAAACCATCTTAAAACATGTTTTTTGGTTGTGAATTCTGTCCTCCAAACTAAATTCCTCCTATTTTAATTGCTTTTGAGTCGACAAGTGAATGGTAAACCCCACATTTGGATTCCATTTCGGTTTTAGCCACTTTTTGATTTATTTTATGTTTAATAATTGTTTTACTGTTTTAAATTTGGCTAAAAAGCCATTAAATAATAATAAAAAAAATTGTTTCATATTTCAACAAATTCTTCTTCAGTCGGTGTCAAAAAAAAAAGCAATTTCCTGTTGTGACAACTTACCCCGTATGTGTGACAACATGCCCCGCTGCTGAGTTCAGTGTGTGCTGTTTTCAATATATTTTTGTAATCAAAGCTTTAAGTTTGTGTCTATCCAGAAACTGACTTTCAGAAACCCTAAACTTTTGCAACTGAGAGATATTAATTGTAAATAGCTGGGAATTATGTTAAATGACTTCTTCCTAGAAACCGTATCTGATCATGGCGGTATGAACATGGATTATAACACGGAGCCGTAGCAT